TGCGGTCTGACCAGAGCCTTATACAGCCTTGATATGGAGGTGCCAGTGTTGGACTGGGGTGGACCTTTTTTGCCTTTATACAGCCTCAGCAGGCTCTTGTATTCATTGAGGTTTTATACTATAAGCACACACACTTTCTACACAGACCTCTCAGTAAGATGCATATGTTTTATCGAGGCTTGCGATAAAACTGTTACCAAGAAGTGAGACTGGCACAACATTTGTCGATGCCCGAACTGTAGGCGAGGGAGACATGGTTAATTGGAAGAAAAAGCAGCCAGCTCAAAGTGACAACAAGTTAATTGTTGCCCAGATTTTAGTGACTCTGTTACAAACAGTGCCTGTCTTCTCTCTCTTCCTTGACAGCCTTCCCAGCGAGTAGCCCACGGCCTGAGGTAGTTAAAAACCTTCCCTCTTTTTGTTTGTCGCTGTTGCTGTGTTTTCCCCTTTTTGTCTGATTGATGTCAAGGCATTGTGCGGGAATTGTTTGGCAGCCTGGCTACTGCCCTCTCTTGTTGAGCGAATGATCGACTGTTCAAATCAGACAACATGTCAGAGAAGGTCAGTCGGCCACTTAATCAGTACAACTATGAGGTTTAGTTGACATCCTGGTCATCAAATAGGTGTAACAGGAAAGCTGGAACATAAGAACTAGGAGCAGAAGTAGGCCATTCAACTCTTCAAAACTGCTCCACCATCATGGCTGATCTCATCTCAGCCTCAAATCCACTTTCCTGCCCACTCTCCATAAACCTTCAACCTATTACTGATTAAAAATCTACTTCCTCTTTAATTTACTCAATGTCCCAGCATCCATTGCACTCTGGGTGAGTGAACTCCACACTTTCACAATCATTTGAGGGAAGTAATTACTCCTAATCTCTGTTTTAAACCTGCCACCCCTTATCTAAAGTGATGACCTCACATCCTGGATTGCCCCCGCAAGGAGAAACACGCAATCTCCGCCTACTTTGTCAATCCCCTTTGGCACATTAAATACTTCAATTAAATCTCCACTCATTCCTCTAAACTCCAGAGAGCATTGGCCTAAACTGCTCAATCTCTCCCCCTAAACCGAGCCTTTCATCTCTGAAACTAATCTAGTGAATCTTCTTTGAACTGCCTCCAATGCAATTACATCCTTCCTTGAGAAATGGGACCAGAACTGTATGCAGTACTCCAAGTGCGGTCTTATCAATGCCTTGTACATGGACCACAGTTGTTTGAGAAAGAAGCATTTGTCCAAACAAGGTAGTTGGATCTCACTCCTCGCCTTTGCAACTTCCTCTTGTAATTCTGAACAATTGCCACTTTTGACGTGCAATTTTAAACCTTTTCAGGGATTAAACTGGCAGCCACACAGGAAAGTAAAGTGTTTGACTGGAAACAGAAATGAATCTCTTTATAACACTTATATAATCTCAATAAATCTCTTGCTGCTGTTTTCCTTCAGCTCCCGTGATTCACTTTTTGATTCCCCTCTAGACCACCTTAAATCTTAACTGGGGTTCTCAGTGACGTGGTGTAAATCCTTGCCCATGGGCAGAAACTTTGCTTTGTAACAAAATCCGTACAACAACAAGACTCGTACATTTCACGCGTGGTGTAATAGAACATCCCAAGGCCTGTTGCGGGAACATTACCAAACAAAATTTGATACCGAGTCATGTTTTCATGCCACAGACCAGGAGCTTGCTTTGAGAGGCAGGTTTTAAGAAGTGTCTTAAAAGAAGAGAGTGAAGTAGAGGATTAGAGGAGGTTAGGGTCAGAATTTGAGGACCCATGTAGGTGAATATTGGATTGGTTGAAAAATGGGGATGATGGAGAGGCAAGATTTCAAGGTTGGTAGATACCTCATAGGGTTTTGGAACTGGGGAAATGGTTGGGGAGGGGAAGTTGTACGGGGCTAAGGAGTAATTGGAAAGTTTGCATTGGGCCTGCAACATCTTTTTAGATGTACTACCAGGAGGTAATAGTTCTTTCAGGGAGTCCAAGTTGCTGTGGTAACATTTACTTTTTAACAGACATTTTGTTGCTCAGGGATGACAAAACATGATGGTTGAGGCTTCAATTTTCTCTTCAGCATATGGTTAACCAGGAAGCTCTCTCACTGTTACCATAGAGTCATAGAGATGTACAGCACAGAAACAGACCTTTCGGTCCAACTCGTCCATGTCGAACAGATGTCCTAAGTTAATCTAGTCCCATTTGCCAGTATTTGGCCCACATCCCTCTAAACCCTTCCTATTTATATACCCATCCAGATGCTAATTAAATGTTGTAATTGTGCCAGCTTTCACCACTTCTTCTGGTAGCTTATTCCATACAAGCACCATACACTGCATGAAAATGTTGTCCCTTAGGTCCCTTTTAAATCCTTCCTCTCTCACCTTAAACCTATATCCTCTAATTTTGGACTCCCCTACCCTGGGGAAAAGACATTGGCTATTCACCCTATCCATGCCCCTCATGATTTTATAAACCTGTATAAGGTCATTCCTCAGCCTCCGATGCTCCAGGGAAAATACCCCAGCCTATTCAGCCTCTCAAAGAACAAAGAACAAAGAAAATTACAGCACAGGAACAGGCTCTTCGGCCCTCCAAGCCTGCGCCGATCCAGATCGTCTATCTAAACCTGTCGCCTATTTTCCAAGGATCTGTATCCCTCTGCTCCCTGCCCATTCATGTATCTGTCTAGATACGTCTTAAATGACACTATCGTGCCCGCCTCTACCACCTCCGCTGGCAACACGTTCCAGGCACCCACCACCCTCTGCGTAAAGAACTTTCCACGCATATCTCCCTTAAACTTTTCCCCTCTCACCTTGAAATCGTGACCCCTAGTAACTGAGTCCCCAACTTTGGGAAAAAGCTTCTTGCTATCCACCCTGTCTATATCTCTCATGATTTTGTAGACCTCAATCAGGTCCCCCCTCAACCTCCATCTTTCTAATGTAAATAATCCTAATCTAGTCAACCTCTCTTCATAGCTAGTGCCCTCCATACCAGGCAACATCCTGGTGAACCTCCTCTGCACCCTGTCCAAAGCATCCACATCCTTTTGGTAATGTGGAGACCAGAACTGTAAGCAGTATTCCAAATGTGGTCGAACCAAAGTCCTATACAACTGTAACATGACCTGCCAACTCTTGTACTCAATACCCCGTCCGATGAATGAAAGCAAGCCATATGCCTTCTTGACCATTCTATCGACCTGTGTTGCCACCTGCAGGGTACAATGGACCTGAACACCCAGATCTCTCTGTGCATCAATTTTCCCCAGGGCTTTTCCATTTACAGTATAGTTCATCCTTGAATTGGATCTTCCAAAATGCATCACCTCGCATTTGCCTGGATTGAATTCCATCTGCTATTTCTCCACCCAACTCTCCAATCTATCTGTATTCTGCTGCATTCTCCGACAGTCCCCTTCACTATCTGCTACTCCACCAATATCAGTGTCATCTGCAAACTTGCTAATCAGACCATCTATACCTTCTTCCAGATCACTTACGTATATCACAAACAACAGTGGTCCCAACACAGATCCCTGTGGAACACCACTGGTCTCAGTTCTCCATTTTGAGAAACTCCCTTCCACTACAACTCTCTGTCTCCTGTTGCCCAGCCAGCTCTCTATCCATTTAGCTAGTACACCCTGGATCCTATGCAACTTCACTCTCCCTATAGCTCAAACCCTCCAACCCTGGCAATATCCTTGTAAATCTTTTCTGAACCTTTTCAAGTTTCACAACATCTTTCCTATAGCTGGGAGACCAGAATTGAGCGCAATACTCCAAAAGTGGCCTAACCAATGTCCTGTACAGTCGCAACATGACCCCCCAACTCCTATACTCAATGCATTGACCAATAAAGCTAAGCGTACCAAAAGCCTTCTTCACTATCCTATCTACCTGCGACGCCACTTTCAAGGATCGGTGTGCATTGGAAGGGTTTACAGGTTGATAAACAGCCTGTTTAGCCAGGTTACGAACATACCTTGCTGGTTCATCCTGATGTGTGTTAGGATCCCAGAGCCTCTGGCACTGGCTCAGAGGCAGTTACACTTACCCCTGCACTGTAAGCTGTCCTTCTTATGTGATACATTTGCTTAGAATCAGAAATAAACAAACAAAGGGATCTTGCTCACACTGACAAGTTCTATTCTTGGTAAGGCTGGCATTTATTGCCCACCCCTAGTTTGCCATTGAAAAGCGAGGGGCTGGTTGTCCTCTTGAGCATTTTGATCCAACTGAGTGGCCATTTTGGAGGACAGCCAAGAGTGAGATGCCTCGGTGTAAGATTGGAGTCATATTGGGATCAAACCAGGTAAAGATGGCAAGTTTCCTTCCCAGAAGAACATGACTTCTTGTGGAGCCTGTGAGATTGGTAAAGAGTAAAGCTGGGTGGAAGAGCCGACAGCTGGATTTGGGTTCGAGTCCAAATGTGCCACTGTTCACCTCCGTAGGGCAGTGTAGTCCAATGGTGAATACTACTGCATCGAACCAATGACCCAAGTGCTAAACTTCAAATCCTGATGATAGGTGTCAACTGATCTCATACACCGTGGGCTCGTCCCAGAAGCAAACTGGGTTGCTTTAACATCCTTCAAGAAGCAATTTGTCAAATAGTGCAGCGTGGATTTTTACAAATCTGTCACAGGTGTCAGATTCTGTCTTATTTCAATGTTGCATTTAATGGTTCGCACCTCTGGCAGTCCAGCATGCCCGACTACTGCACTAAAGTGTCAGTTTAGATTACGTGTCCAAGAACAGCACAACCATCCAAACTCAGAGGGGACATTGATCTGAGTCGCTCACAATGGCAAAATCCCCAGTCTGTCTGAAATAGCAAAGTTTATGGGCAAGGGAGTTGTTGTTCTTTTTGACGATCGGTAGCATATGAGCTCTGTTCAGTCACGGTGTGCAATGACTAACTCCTTTATTCCATCTGAACTAACCTGCAGTCACCTGCATGTTTCTTCCTTATCTTGTTACCAGTGACAACATCATCCCATTTCAGCACTGCTATCACTAACATGCACGGCACTAACAGCCCTGAGCCCTCCACTTCTGGTAAGCAAACCTTGTTTTATTCATTCCTATTATTTTGAGATATCTCCAGTTATCTATTACTCTGTGCACAGTTATAATGGGAAAAGCTGAGGTAAGGATGTCGCGGTGTAATTATACCCTCCCACCACTGCTGGTGTCGCAGTTTGTCTATCAGGAGAACAGTTAAACAACAGTGTGACATGCCTACATAGATAGCTCCCTTTGTAAATGTGCACAGTTATTTATGACAGAAAATGTCAGGAGAAAACCTGTGCAGGTGTCAAATAAAAAATATTTGATGCTTACCAAACTTCAAATAGTATTTTGCACAAAGAATATGTCAAACCCAACTGTACATTGATACAATGGAATCTGTTATGAATCAATGCATTACAAATTTGTTTAAAGTTTGGAGGTTTCATGATCCTCTCCCAGGAACGGTCAATCTTTATTTCAATCTTCATTTTTCTAGTTCAAAATAGGAGCTTTGTTGCTAATGCAGTCCAACTATAATATGGTTTCACTTTTTGGATCCCAATATCTGCTTTATAATGGGCTTCCACTGTATATTCTGAAATATTATTTGCAATATATGATGCAATATAGTTTGGTATACTATGATATGTTACAATAATACATATAAATTTACAATATGTAATTATAGCATGTTGTAATACAGCCATTACTCTGGTATTGTCTCAATGGAGTGAATGGCCTTCATCCAAGTCATTATGACTCTATATTCATAGAATCCCTACAGTGTGCAAACAGGCCATTTGGCCCAACAAGTTGACACTGCCCCTCCGAAGAGCATCCCATCCAAACCCATTCCCCTACCCCTGCATTTCCCATGTCTGACCCACCTAACCTAAGCATCCCTGGGCATTATGGGCAATTTAACATGGCCAATCCACCTACCCTACACATCTTTGGACTGTGGGAGGAAACTGGAGCACCCAGAGCAAACCCACACAGACACAGGGAGAACGTGCAAACTCCACACAGACAGTCACCCGAGGGTGGGATCGAACCTAGGTCCCTCGCACTGTGAAGCAGCAGTGCTAACCACTGAGCCACTGTGCTGCCCCGTATTGTAATATGTGACATGGAGTGTGTTATGATGGAATTGTTTCTGTGTATGGTTGAGTTTGCAGAGGATTACAGAGAGGAAAACCTTCCTCGTCAGAGTTGAGGGGGTGCAGTTTCAATCCCCTGAAATGGATAAGTGATATGCAGCTTTATTGTTCCAACACAGGTATGAGAGGCTGAGTGGCCTCTCAATATGAGTGCATAATTCTAACGGACCTTTGTGGAACAAAAGAGCACATCAAACCACAGAGTTCTGTATCTCCTTAACGTGCTCAGAATTAATGATTGCTTAAGACAACAAGACTACAGGACACGGGAGTAGAAGTAGGCCATTCAGTCCATCAACTCTGTTCTGCCATTCAATGAGATCGTGGCTGATCTGATAATCCTCAACTCCACTTTCCTGCCTTATCCTCATAATCCTTGACCCCCTTATTGATTAAAAATCTGCCAACCTTTGCCTTGATTATCCTCAATGGCCCAGGCTCAACAGCCCTCTGCAGGGGATTATGAGAGGAAAACATTCCTCATCTCTGTCTTCAATGGGTGACTCCTTACTTGGTTGAGTATTCGCTGGCAGAGTGAGGGAAGCATTCTTTCTGCAAGTCGGTGAGTTGGGAGAATCCCAGATACACAGGCAGCTCCACAAGTCTGTTTAAAAAGACCCCCAGGTGGATACTCCTTCATGGAATCCAAAGTCCAAAGTTTCCACATCTGGGTTGGAGTGAGACATTGTCTCCCCCTGTAGGGAGAGAGAGCACATGCCTGTCAAGGTCAATGTCACAGAGATGCTACACCTGAGAACTTTGAGGTCACAGTCTTTGGAGGCTGTTTAAAATGTTAAGATGTCTCCCTAAGCATCTCAAGACTCTTTAAAGAAAGGGATTTGCAAGAACTATTTCACATCAGAGCCAGTCATTCCCATTTTTCTTTTGCTTTCGCCCAACAGGGTGTTGCATGTGCTTTTACACATCACTTGATTGAGATATTGCTCCAGGAACTATGTCATCACTTCATGCCACTTTATCTCCATAATGCATGGGTAGCGCACAAGACTATGGGTCAAAGTTCAGAGGTTAAAACTGGACAGTTTCACAGACTTAGCAACCATACACCATCAGACAGCACAAGTCGATAACCACATTACTGACACTGGAAGTGTTTTTGCTATTGAATAAATACTAGATTCACCAGGGAACCATGCACAGCAATCACAGCCAAGCTGTTGTCCAGTAACATTTCTTTACTTCATGGCTCAATGGGTTTGAGGATGCTGTGATTGGCTCGCTCACTGAGCTGCTTCATTAGTTTGCAGTCGTTTCATTACCTGGGTAACATCATCAGTGCAGCCTCCGATGAAGCGTTGTTGTGTTTTCCTGCTTGTTATTTAAACTCTGGGGTCCGTTGGAGTTGATGACCTCACTTCTGTTTTTTCTTTGCAGTGGTGTGTATATAGGGTCTAATTCTATGTGTTTATTGATGGCCTTCTTGGTGGAGAACGAGGCCTCTAGAAATTCCCATGCCTGTCTCTGTTTGGCTTGTCCTAGGATCTTGATATGGTCCCAATCAAACTGGTGGTCCTCCTTGTTTGTACGTATGGAGACGAGTATCGATCATGTCTTTTTTTATTATGTTTTTTGTTGCTAGTTGGTGTTCATGAACTCATCTCCAAAAATACAGGCAAGGAAGACCACCAGTTTGATTGGGACAATGTCAGGATTCTAGGGCAAGCCAAACAGAGACAAGCACAGGAATTCCTAGAGGCCTGGTTCTCTACCAAGAAGGCCATCAATAAACACATAGAGTTAGACCCTATATACACACCATTGCAAAGAAAAACCAGAAATGAGGTCATCAACTCCAAAGGACCCCAGAGTTTAAATAACAAGCAGAAAAATAAAACAACGCTTCATCGGAGGCTGCACTGATGATGTTACCCAGCAGGGTAATGAAACGTCTGCAAACTAACGAAGCAGCTCAGCGAGCGAACCAACCTCAGAAACGACAACCCGAGCTACAAACCTACTCAAGAGTATTGGTTTGAGGATTAGTAGGAAGGGTGCATAGTTTTGTTTTTGGAAGCTGTGCATTCAATATTTTACATTTGCTTGCATTACAAAGGCACAACCCCTCCATTCACGGAAATCACATCGCCAGGAACAACAGAAGCTGCAGCACTGAGTAAGTCCCAGGAATTTTTAATATGGTAATTGTAAATAGATACATATGCACAATGAGGAGAGATTGGCTATGTAGCTGATTCAGGTGTCAGTGTCTCATCAGCATTCCAGTCACGTGAAAGAGCTTGCATTTATATAGCACCGTGTCACCACCACAGTGAAGTGCTTTATAGCCCATAAATGTAGTCACTACTGCAATATATGGAATGTAGGCACCTATTTGCAAACCCTCATAAACATTCTGTTGATGACCAGGTAATCTTTACAGTGGTGTGATTTAAATGTCAAACAATGGCCAGGACATAAAGACTAACTCTTTCACTGCTATTTGAACTAACATCATGAGATCTTATACATTAATCTGATTTCTGCCTGGCCAATAATATTAATGTCTCATCTGAACATTGCCATCTTCCATAGTGTTGAACTGAAATGTTAGCCTAGATTTTGTATTTAAGTGTCTGACGTTACAGAATAATGAAGTGGCTGTTCTTGACTGGTCACAGGCTCGATGGGTCGAAGGGTCTTTTCTTGTGCTGTAGACCTCTCTGACACTATGAGGTTGGAATTGAACCCATGGCCCTCTAGCTTAGAGGGTCTTGTTCTGATGCTCTATCAGAGGCTGCACTGTTGATGTTATCCAGCAGGGTAATGAAACGTCTGCAAACTAATGAACCAGCTCAGTGAGGGAACCAACCACAGCATCCACAACCCGAGCTACAAGTCTACTCAAGAGTATTGGTTTGAGGATTAGAACAAGAAATGGATGCTACATGACTGAGATAATGCCTCAGGCTAATTATTAATCATTTTGCTTGGAAATAGGGAGATTGAGAAGTCAGGATACTTAAAGGGTTGACTTGGCTCCTAAGTCGATATTGCTGACAGTAAAAGGCTGGCATTGATTTTGCCCACTGGGGCCCACTCACCAGTCTGGATGCCTCTCCTGATGATTGACTCGATGTCCTGCTTATTCGCGGATCCCACGTTGGAAGGGCTGAGATGCTTCTTGCTGCTTTCCAGGCAGCCAGAAATCTATAATGAGAAGTGTGGTCCCAGTCAGACAAACAGCGAGATGCAACCTAATACTATCTGTTGCTAAACAATAAGCTTTTACTTGGTGAAACCCCGCAGTAACCCAGGCTGCCATTGCCTTACCAGCTGCCAAGCTGATCTTACATTCTCTGGGTAAAATTTGGGGTCCCTTTGGGCACTCCATATTGGATGAACAAATGCTCCTCACATCCATACTTCTATATGGGTTGGGTTGGTAACTGTTTGGTGACAGATTTCTGTTTGCATCTGATGACTCAAAGAAAAGGTTGATGCCAGTCAATGTTGAGTATATCGACTGTGTTGTCATTACACAGACCCTCATTCCTCCACACCTTCCCAAAATGATGCCAGCAATTCCTCAAACAGTGAAGGTTGTGAGGTATAGGTGGATGCCATAGTAATGGAGCGGTGGGCTGGAGGGAGTTGATGACTCAGACCTAAAGGAATGCAAACACAGATTTAAAGGGACACTGTTCTCAGAATACAAAATAAAACACTTGACGAAGCTTTCGTGATGCAGAGACTTAAAATGGTTAAACAACAGAAAAATCCCCATTGTCCTATCTCATCACTTCATCTTATCATAAGCAAAATTGTTTTTTTTTTAAGATGTTATTTTTCCAGATTCCAAAATAAATTGTCCCTTTAAATGAGTTGTTTGTTTCCAGTTAAACATAATTTCATGCTGAAGAAATGCTAAAGAACTCAGTGGCACTGATGATGTTGCTAAGGGTTGACAGTCACTCAGGTGATGGGTGCTGGTAGCTTTCTAGATGCCGCAGTGGTATTGATGTGATGGTCACTGCTTGTGTCTCAGTAGTAGTGGTGCTCTAACTCGATGTGGTGATAGAGATTCACCCACCCTACTGCCGACTTCCTTGCCTGGGATTTTTGAGGATGTGATGGCCAGTCCAACTAATGCATAACCCCTCCGGAGGTCGGCTTAACTCAGCTGGCCAGATGGTTGGCTTGCGAAACAGTTTGATGTCCGCAATGTGAGTTCAATTCCTATTACTGGCTGAGGTTACCATGAAGGACTCTCCTTCACAACCCCTCTCCTTGCATGAGGTATGGTGCCCCTCAGGTTAAATCACCACCAGTCGACACTCTCGAATGAGAGAGCACCCCTATGCTCTGGTAAAACTATGGTGGCACAATACAATACAATTCATAAAGGGACGGGGCAAGGCCTAATGGACTGTTCATCCAAAGATTCAGATATTGTTCTGGGGACCTGAGTTTGAATCATAGAATGCCTACAGTGTGGAAACAGGCCCTTCGGCCCAACAAGTCCTCAATGACCCTCAGAGCATCCCACCCAGACCGATCCCCCTATAACCCACCTAATCTACACATCCCTGAACACTACAGGCAATTTAGCATGGCCAATCCACCTAACCTGCACATCTTTGGACTGTGGGAGAAAACCCATGCTGTCAATGCAGATGGTAGAATTTGAATTCAATAACAAGCTAGAATTAAGAGTCTAATGATGACCATGAATCTATTGAGAAAAAGCCATCTGGCTCACTAATGTCCTTCAGGGAAAGAAACTGCCATCCTTACCTGGTCTGACCTACATGTGACTCCAGACCCACAGCAATGTGGTTGACTCTTAACTGCCCTCTGGGGAATTAAGGATAGGCAGTAAATGCTGGCTTAGCCAGTGGTACCCAGATCGCTTGAATGAATAAAAAAGACATCCTGAGCTCCTTCAAAGAGGACAGGTGTATGGGTTGGAACCCCTGCTGCTCCTGTGTAGTTTGCGCAATATGTGGTGGCCGGTGAGCGAAGTCCAGAATGGAGACAGTAACCCATCGTGTGTATTTTTCTGTTGCTAGGGTCGTCAGGAATTTGCAAGAAAGAGCTTGTATTTAAACAGAAACAAAAACAGAAATTGCTGGAGAAATTCGACAGGTCTGGCAGCACTTGTGGAGAGAAAGCAGAGTTAATGTTTTGGATCCGGTGACCCTACATCAGAACTGTACACTCCAAAGAAGAGTCAGTGAACTTGAAACATTAACTCTGTCTCTATGTCCACAAATGCTGCCAGACCTGCTGAGTTTCTCTAGCAATTTCTGTTTTTGTTTTAGATTTCCAGCATCTGCAGTCCTTTGTTTTATTTTTACATTTTCTGTAGGGTCACGGGCCAAAACATTTCGCAAAAAGTGCTTTTGAAAGATGGCCACATATTGCGCAAACTACACAGGAGCAGCAGGGGTTCCAACCCATACGCCTGTCCTCTTTGAAGGAGCTCAGGATGTCTTTTTTATTCATTCAAGCGATCTGGGTACCACTGGCTAAGCCAGCATTTACTGCCTATCCTTAATTGCCCAGAGGGCAGTTAAGAGTCAACCACATTGCTGTGGGTCTGGAGTCACATGTAGGTCAGACCAGGTAAGGATGGCAGTTTCTTTCCCTGAAGGACATTAGTGAACCAGATGGCTTTTTCTCAATAGATTCATGGTCATCATTAGACTCTTAATTCTAGCTTGTTATTGAATTCAAATTCTACCATCTGCATTGACAGCATGGGTTTTCTCCCACAGTCCAAAGATGTGCAGGTTAGGTGGATTGGCCATGCTAAATTGCCTGTAGTGTTCAGGGATGTGTAGATTAGGTGGGTTATAGGGGGATCGGTCTGGGTGGGATGCTCTGAGGGTCATTGAGGACTTGTTGGGCCGAAGGGCCTGTTTCCACACTGTAGGCATTCTATGATTCAAACTCAGGTCCCCAGAACAATATCTGAATCTTTGGATGAACAGTCCATTAGGCCTTGCCCCGTCCCTTTATGAATTGTATTGTATTGTGCCACCATAGTTTTACCAGAGCATAGGGGTGCTCTCTCGTTCGAGAGAGTCGACTGGTGGTGATTTAACCTGCGGTAATACCGCAGCCAATTTGCTCACAGCAAGCTTCTGCAAGCAGATCAAATGATAATAACCAGATATTCTGTTTCAGAGATGTTGTTTTAGGGAGAACTGAAATGGCTCTTCCTCACAATAATACCTCGGGATATTTTACAGTGGCCTGAGACTTGGGTTCACATTGCCCCTAAAATACAGCACTTCTGAGAGTGTAGCACTCTCTCAGGAATGCTGTACAGTGTTAGCCTGAATTACAGATCCAGGTTTTGAGTGGGGATTAAATCTTCCAACACATAGTCAGGGAGGTTCCTACCGAGACACAGTTATAACCTCAATGGCATCAGCTTATATCTAGCACTCCGAAAGAGGGACAAATTGAAAGCTAGCCTTCTTCCTGAATGGACGGTTTTCAAACTGAAAGATTCCCTCCTCACACAGTGAGACAGTCCACCTCCTCTCTGTCCCTGTGCAGCAGGAGCAACCACAGAATCTCTACAGCACAGGACCATTTGGCCCATCAAGTATGCTCCAACCCTTTGGAGGGCATAAATCCAGACTCACCATACTCCCACGTTAAGCGCAGCCAACCCACCTAGCCTCCACATCTTAGGACAGTGGGAGGATCTGGAGGAAACCCAGGCAGACACAGGGAGAATGTGCAAATTCCACACAGGCAGTCACCCGAGGCTGGAATCAAACTCAGGTCCCTGGTGCTGTGAAGCAGCAGCGCGAACCACTGCGCCACTATGCACCACGTGCGAGCAATGTGTAGACTGAAGGTTTAAATGCATTTGAAAAATAGGCATCACAGTTAGACATTTTTGCCTCAACTTCCTTTTCTTTTTGTCTCAACACCCACAGCACGTATTAAATAAATTACTGGAGCGGTCACATTGAGCTGTTTTTGGCTGCAGCACTCTCGACGCATGGGGAACTTGAATGGTGACATGCGTTATATCTCTTTTTTTTAATGCTATCCCAGAATCATGCAGTGGCGAAAAGGAAGCTAAAGAGGTATTTTAGGTGGATCTTGATCACTGCTCCAATGACTACAAAGTTGCTAAAACTCCCTTGAAAC